TTCCTGAACTCGGCGCGGGGGTGTCGTAGGGACTATGAAAGGTCTGTGCGAAGACGACTGCCGAACAACCACATGACCGCGTGTCGACCCGTCGGCGTTGGAGCGAGTATGTTTCAGGCTTTAATCCTCATTTCGATATGATGGGTCACATTTACAGACTAGGGTTGGGCAATATTGGCAAAAAAATAATCGATTAATTKTGGTATTTAGCCAATAACGATTAATTTGATGATTAATCCCCTGGAGTCTCTGGACACCTTTATGTCCTAGTCACATGACCAATTTAGTTGGAAAGATTTGCTCTGCATAAAAATCTGTTCAAATTGTGTCAAAATTACAGACTTCAGGCTAAACATCAAATTTTAAATATTTGATAGATAAATAAATTACAGAACGTTTTTTAATGTTCATCATATTTGAAGCAGAGAGGAGCAGCGAGCGGACTCTACCTGGTGGCTTTAATCGTATTAATCGTCAAGTGCCAAAAAGTAATCGATTGTTTTTCTGACGATTAATTGCACACGATATGATTATGCCCAACCCTATTACAAACTTTTATTAATTCGTTACATGTATTGATTTTTACAGAAGGATGGGCAGACCCCTCATTGGGGACACACTGTATATCACTTGGTGGACCATTGAGAAACCTCAGGGTAAGATCAGTTTGTCCAAGACAAAAATCAGTTGTTTCAGACAACCAGAAACTGCTTATGTCAGCACTTTTTGGCAGTTTCTAAAATTAGTGGTTGAGTATTGACTTATCTGTTAACAGAGACATGACAGGTGCTACGTCTGAGCAGTTTATGCATCTTAAAATAAATTCACRTCACCTCAGCTGGCTTTGACAAACAAGTGTAGACTTCAAACTCTATTTTACAATACCTTATCCCAAACTGAGAACATACTGTAGTTTCTATAATGGCATATACTTAAAAAGGGTAAAACTCGACAGGATAGAGCTACAAAGACAAAGAAAAGGACACACCTGCTCCAAGTTATATCCATGTTTCTCCTTAGCGATAGCGATGTATTCATCCACTGTGGAGAGAGGGGCTCAGTTTTACTTCTGTTTGTTGCAACGAACCAACGAACTATCCGTTACAATAAGTTTACTTACGTTTGGAGTCAACTATAGAGTGATATGGTGACCAGACCAGCATTCCTCCACTGTCTTTGTCTGTGTACTTAGTGCAACCTGAATGTGGACAAAAAGAATTGAAAACAAAAACACAGATACTATTTTCCTGTGAGGAAATTCAAACATGAAGCAAAACGGTTCAGATAAAAACAATGGGCCTCATACAAGAACATGTTCGTATTCTTCTCCTAAATTTCTCTTACTTTTGTTCGTACAAAGGGTTCGTACGAACATGTCACGTCAGATTCAACAAACTCTTCTATCTTCAGGAAAAG